CAAGGCACCCAGAAGCCAACTATGGTCCCACTCAAAATACAGAAGTTGAGGGGAAAGTCCTGAGAAACCCTTTGGGCCTAGTAACTTCAAGGAGCCCAGACCCACATTTGGCATGTACTATCTGTGAATACTTCTCTTTTTGTTAATCCTAATGTTTAAGTCTTTGTTAAAATATCTTCCTACAAACTCCAACTCCAGGGCCAGAAGATGGCCCAGAAGGCACCTACTGTCAAGGTTAATGGAAGTTCCATCCGGGACCTATACGGTGGATGAAAGAAGCTTTCCTCTGATGTCTGGAGGCGCAGAGGTTCTAAAAGAATTTCTCAAGCTGCTGCAGACACCAGGGCAGAGCAGTGTCACCAACCCAAGGCCCTGTTGCTCTGACAGTAAGAGCAAGATGCTGGCTTGCCCTAGCCTGCACTACCGCCGCATCCTCCATGTTAGGAAGGGGAGGGAGGGAGACTGTCGGTGGGCTGTTTCCATCTACTGCCCTAAGAGAACAAAGGAACACTGTCTCAGGGTCCCTTCCTGGCACTGATCCATCAGGCTACACTATCTGTCTTTCTAATTTGCATCTTCCTTTTTTAGCCCAATCCCTAAGAAAAGTCCCTGTTTTTATACTCACAGGAAAAATTTAGGGTTGAAATTTCTTGGGTTCCTATAAGATCCTGAGGCCAATTCCATTACGGTTTTTCCCCCATTATAGGTTTTTTTTTTTTTTTTTTTTTTTACTTCAGCTCTTAATAACAAACTGAGAAACTGAGAAATAGGGCCACAATCTATCTATTTCTTTTTTTTAAAAAATGTCTTTTAAGATTTATTTATTTATTTATTTAACTGAGCGATAGGGACCAGTAAACGGAATACTAGAAAACCTCCCAATAACATGTGGACAGATGCTGAAAGGACACTGTGTTGTCTATAGAAGGCAAGGGGTTGAGGAAGGAAAGATGGCGGTAGAATGGCCCAGCAGATAAAAACCTTTGCAAGCCTGACAACGTGAGTTTGATGCCCCACACCCACAGAAAGAGAAAAGGATAGAACCAACTCCACAAAGCTGTCCTCTGACTTCCACATGAGCAGCATAGCATGGACATACCTACACAAAACTTTTAAAAATTATTTTTAAAGGTCATCTGAGCTGGATTGGGGGACGGGGCAGGGATGGCAGGATATAAGGTAAAGTTTTGATAGGGATGGAATTTGAGAATTCCAGGAAACTGTCATTTCAGGTTGGTAGGAGGTTGATTCCTGGAAATAGCGACAGGGTTTGCCCTGGAAGGGAAGAGAAGAAAGCGTGGGATTTTCCTGTCCCAGTGCAGGTTCCCCTTTGTCAGAGCACAGGAAGGTGGGTCAGCCCTGCAGTGCAGGTTCCCAGTCAAAGGAGAAAAAGCCGTTTGGGTGGGAACTGTGTCTTTCACACATTCCCACTGCACAGGCTGCTGTCATAGCTTTCCTATTCTCACATTCCCTGGGACCCACACACTCACCCACAGAGCTTGCCTCCTGTTAGTTGTACAAAGCACACAGAAGTGAAGTAAGCTCTTTAAACAATACACCAATATTCGCTTCGGTTTTACTTCTTGATAATTTCTCTCTGTTCCATTTTTTAACAGGCAGAATTCAGTGATGTGTGTGTGACATTGGGATAGCAGCGGTGTGACCTTCACTGGCAGTAGAGGGTCTCTCTGGGGTGTGTGGGGAAGACAGCGAGTGACATGGAAAGAGGCCTCGTTATGCAGGGTCCTGATGCACTAGGCAGAGGTACTGTCATAAGGTGGCCATAGGGCAAAGCACAGGGGGCCAACAAGAACCCAGTGACATGAATCCTTAGTAGCACCTACCCTCTTTCGAGATCATTTCACCACAGAATAAAAGGACAGTAGGCTGTGTGGTCATCCTAAAACTGTGGACCTGTGTGACATAAGGAAATAGGTGGACTTTTGAACATAACACTGAACTCTCTGAACAATAAATGAAAGAGCTGGGCTTGAACATTGCTAGGTCTCAGCTGGGCCAAGGCTCGAGAGCTCTGTGCTCCAAAAGTCCGGTTCAAATCCTTCCAGGCAAACCTCAGGCGATCAAAACCGAAGAAACAAGATCTGAAAGGCTTAAAAGCCGTGGTTTATTGCAGGGCATTGGGGGTGGGCAGGCAGGGCAAGCAAAGTCAAATAATGCCAGCAGCCACCACGGCAGAGTGATCTGTGACGTTATCCTGTGAGATGCAAAAGGGCCATAGAGCATTTTACACTGACGGAGCTGCCACACCAGTTAAAAAGAGGCGTTACAAGCTCGAACCTACTGTGTAGCATTTGCATCTTCAGTTTGTATACAAGTGTGTGCACGTGGTCTGTAAGTGCATATGGTTTAGACCCAAGGAGCTTTATGGTGGAATGAAAGTAGGGGAATGATACCACAGAGTAGCCCAGCTGGACGCTGGGTGACCGTTGACACACATGTGCTCCTGTGGCTCCCTTGTGTTCTCTGGATGGCATTTCTAGGCTTGACAGTAAGATGATGCTAACTGGTGCTGGATAGAGGAGCCTTATTTATTTGTTTATTTTTTTTATTATGGCAGCTTGCTATTTTTGTAACATGGTGATTTGGTTGAACACAATAAAGTACAGTGGTGACTGATCTGTCCTCCTTCCTGGATGACTGAGCGGATGATTAAATATTAATGTCAGCAGCATCCTTGAGTATATTCAAATGAGCAACGCTTGGCTTCTGCTTCTATTTAAAATGATGCTGTTTGTTGATTGTGGTCTGAAGCTTCGAAGCACTACTTGGCATCTCCTTCCTTTGATAAAGTGTTGGTAAGGTGAGGTCTTGCTTGTCTCCTCTAGGTCATGTTCATATGAATTCAGTGGTTATAAGCTTTTGTCGTAGGGATATTTCATTTTTTAAATATGCGTTTTAGCTGACATTCATGGAGAGAACGACTCCTTAGAACTGTGCCAACTATGTAAGAGTGTGTTTCTTTACAGAGCTGGGTCACACGATCCTTTGGGCCCTCTACTGGAAAAGTAGAATCGAGTCAAACAATGCCTTTTAAATGTCCCTGCATCATGCCTCTGTGAACGTAAAATAGCTGTACACCTGCTTTATGATACGTAGTTGTAACGGTGCTTTATCAGAGCTGTTTTTAATGATGTTGTTCAGAATATTTTCTTTCCAGATGATGACTGAGAAGCTAATTAAAAAAAAAAAAATGGTACACAAGAGTAACAGAACTGTGCTATTTTCTGGGATTTAGTTTTTTACTCTGTTTTTTTTTTTTGTTTTGTTTTGTTTTTTCCTCTTTAAATGCTGTGTGTTGGATGTCTCAACAATTTTGTTCAAATGACTGCAGAAACTGGAGAACTATATGTATATAGTTTTAACTTTTTGGAAACTCTAATTTTGCTGTCACCTTTGGAAAAAAATTATCCCAGTTTAGCATGTTAGTTGGCATTGTACATGAATTAACACCCATATTGACCTAGAGATGCTGAACTTATTTTTTTTTTCCATTTGTGAAGGGGAAACACATTGTATTAAATATGTAAGGTCTTATCTATGTCGGTTTGATTACGAAAAAACTAATAGTATTCTCTAAATAGTGAAATCAAACCAACAAACAAAAACAAACCCTTCCAGGCTGTTTAACCATCATCCTACCTCCTGCCCATAGCACACCACCATACCCTACAGAGAGCCTAAGTAGCCAAAAGGCCAGGGAACGTCATGAGCAGTACTGGGTGCTAAGGCACCCAGAAAGCTACCGCGCAGCCAGGGCTGGCCAGGGCCTCAGCGAGACAATGACAATGTAAATCACCAACATCATCCAGGCACCCAATCCAGGCACTCAGATTGCACGTGTCAATGATACCCAGCTCAGCATTACCCAGTCGCCCCTCCCCTGCATGCAGATTACACACGTCGGGGAAACCCAGTTAAAGAGACAGCACGTGCTTTTTCTGCCCTCCTAGTTAGGAATTAAAAGCACAAAACAAAATCCAGGAAAGCCATCCCTCAGTGTCCATGGAGCGCTGGCTCCAGCTCTACCTGTGGATCCCAAATCTCAGATGCTCATGTCACTTGGGTAAAAATTCTGTGTTGCGGTATTTGTAAGTAACCAGCTCGGATCTTCCCATATGCTTTAAATCACTGCAGCGTCTTTCATAATACCCAACCTAAATACTGTGAAAGGCACCACTGTACGATGTCGCTTAAGAAATAATGATGGTGCGGCGGGGACACTGTGCATGTTCTGTTCCAGCATTATTTCCCCCAAAATTTCTGATTGCAGATTGGCAGAACCCATGGACCAGAACCAGCAGAGTTATTCAAAATAAGCCCAGCCATGTTCCTGAACTGAGGGAAGAAAGAAAACCTCACCAGAATCTACTTTCCCCAAGCGGTCAGCCCAAATGAAAAGAGCCGGCTAATTGTCACGGTGATGCCATTAGGGACCATGGTTAGCTATCCATGCAAATACCACCCTTGGCCACCACCAGGCATTAAACTAGACTCTCAGACAGCTCTGCTGAGGCCTCATGGGTGGTCCAGGTGCATATCTAAGTTTGAAAAGGATTTACCAGCCAGGCCTTCTGGCTCAGGCCTATAATTTCAGCATTCAAGGGGCTGAGACAAGAACCGCAAGTTCAAAGCCAGTCGCGCTAACTTAGTGAGCCCCTGTCTCAAAAGAAAGAGTAAAAGGAGGGCCGGTAGTGTATTTACTTGTTGACCACTTGCCTAACATGCACCAGGCCCTCAAATTAATCCCCAGCCCAAACCACCAAAAGTTTGCCAGGTTCTCCAGAAGCCCATAAAGATAGATAGATAGATAGATAGATAGATAGATAGATAGATAGATAGA